GTCTGGGGAAGCACCCGGGGTCCCCCCATGGCCGACTGCTGAGCTGGGGGAAGGATGGGGGTGGGGACCCCAGCACACTCTCCGGCGGACTCAGAAGTGGACTGGAAGTACTTCTGGTCCACTTCCAGGTTTGCCGTGGAGCATGCGTGGGCCCCCCCCCACTCCTGTGGGACGTTCCATCCACCCCATCATCACAGTGGTCACAAGCTGGGCCTGGTACCTTGCGGTACATACAAAAAACATTTAAAGCTGTATCTGTGGCCAAATCGCTGATTCTCTGAATCAGCATTGAATCTTCAGGTTCAGATTTGGCCGAATCGAAACGGGACAGTGATCTGAAGCAACAAATTGAATCACTGTCCCTGATTCGGGCCAAAACTGAATTGAATATGCTCCCATTTCACACAACCCCTACTGGAAATGTTTCTTTTGAGTGTGTTGCAAGTCGGTATTTATTTTGCATAGTCTTTTTTACCTAAATCTAAGGCTGACTCTATTTCAATTTTAATTCTAAATGAGTTCCATGCTGCATCAGCATTCAAGGGAGGTGAAATCAATGGCATAATTTCACTGAGATTTGCAGAAAATAAAACATGTGCTTTGGCCTTTTGTGTTGCTGATGGTGGTATGTAACGGGTAGATTTGTACAATGAATTTTCCTTTGGTGAAAGTCTTAATATGCAGTACAGAAGTATATGCTTCTTGTCACAATCTAATAATGTTGATATGCATCTTGTCACAACATAATACAAACATTGATGATAAAATCTAATTGACATCAATGTTCAGATCTTGGATGCATCCACAAGACTTCCCAGGCCTGGCTGCCCTGAAAATAGACGCTGGCAAATGCACAGTCCTTGATGGCTACAAAGATCCAGTAGTGTTTGACCATTATTGATTTTTTTTTTTTTTTTCCCCCCCCCCACTTTTTGTTGTGGTAAGCACCAAGCAGCCATACTGATCCAAGCCATCCTCAAAATGAATTGAAATACCAGTGCACACTATTGTCATATTCACGCAGGCAACTTTAAAGAGAGTTAATTTTAAGCCAGAAAATAAAAGATAGGGTAAGGAATTTTTAGTGCTTGTTTTTAGGACAAAGAACTCTGCCATGGTTGGATTCCTAGCATGCAAGACTATCCCTTTTGGTATGATAGGACAGTGTAAGCAGAGCATCAGACATTAATTTAGAAGGTATACCAGAATGGCAGCCAAAGAAGTGTGGGGTCCTCGGCCCCTCCTCCCTCTACTCTCCTCAGGGTAGTAAGATTGCTAGTTATGCCTCTGGATACAATATATTCAAATATGATCATCAGAGCCTAGAAAATAAAAACAAATCCAATTTGAAAAGCATCTTTTTGCTGCTGGCAGACAAGGTTCTTTGGGTAAATCTGATATCTTTTATTAGACAAACTGAAATAGACAGAAAAATTCTTCTTAGCAAGCTTTTGGGTATAAATACCCTTTGTCAGGCTGAAGAAGCATCTGCAGTTGATGTGTGCTCTTCCTGGATGGAATGAATAGCAAAGAAGCCAGAGGCTGGTATGCATGCAAGAAAGGCAGTCAGTGAAGATGAAAATTGAGGAGTCAGTGGGTGAGAGACGGGTTTGGGGGAAGGGGAATGAATGTAGCTGGTAAATAGTGGAGAGGTACCTGGGGAATGAGATGTTAGGCAGGTTATAACATGGCATAAATCCAGTGTCTATATTTAGTTCATGATTTTTTGTATCCAGGAGGTTGATGAAGTGAAGTTCCTAGGCTCGTCTGTGAAAAGTATTTTGTAAATTCCCTTTGAGGATTAGAACTGAGAAAGTGGAGAGAGAGTGGTTTTCTTGAGAAATGTGCCCCCACAGGTAATTGAGTATTCCAGTCTTTGAATGCACACCAGAAATCTATTTTTCTGGTGTGCAGTTGTTGTTTGGTCTCTCCTACGTATTTTCCATCAGGGCAATTGGTGCATTGGATGAGATGTGTTACATTTCTGGAGGTGTAGGTGTAAGATCCAGGAATGCTGATGGTTCTGTTGTGGGGTATAGTAATTGTGGGGGTGGGGGAGATATGTTGGAAGGTTTTACATTTCATGTCATGGCATGGTCTGGATCCATTTGATGCGTTTCGGGCCGTGGGAAGTTTGCTTGCTTCTGGTGATGGGGTCAGCCAGATTCATTGTTTGTTTGAAGGCTAGGATGGGTAGCTCTGGGAAGATATCTTTGAGAATCTGGTCTCCTAGTATAGGTTGCAATTGTATGAGGATTTTTTGTATGGGTTCAAGGAAGGGGTGATATGTCATAACCAGTGGTGTGCGACTTGTGGGGGTTTTCCTTCTGTATTGCAGCAATTCTTCATGTTGTATCCAGGTGGCTCTTTTAAATGTGCAATCTATCTTCCTGGAGGAGTGTCCTTGTAGAGTGAAAGCCTTTTTGAGGTTAGTGAGGTGGCAATCTCAAGTGTTCTCCTCAGTGGAAATTCAGAAGCATCTGAGGGCTTGGCTTTATATCACAGCTTTTCTTAGTGTGTTTAGGGTGAATTGCTGGTTCTGTGCAGATACGCATGTTGGTCTGCGGGTTTCTGGTATAACATGGTCTGGATTTTATCATTCTGGATACTGATCATTGCATCTAAAAAGTAGATGTTGGTGCTAGAGTATTCAAGAGATAGTTGGATGGAGGGGTGATGATAACTGAATTTGACGGAACTCAGTCAGAGATTGCAGGTTTTCAGTCTAAATGATGAAGATGTCTTTGAGAAATTCTTCTTCCAGGTGGCTCATAAAAAGTTTGGCATACTGTGGGGCCATTTTGGCCCCTTGAACCTATACAAACCTATGTGAAACCTACATGAAAATTCCCTCAAACCTATACGAAAAATCCTCAAACAATTGCAACCCATACTAGAAGGAGACCCAATTCTTAAAGAGACCTTCCCAGAACTATCCATCCTAGCCTTCACACAAACACCAAACCTCACTAACCTCATCATCAGAAGCAAACTTCCTACAGCACAAAACGCACTGAATGGATCCAGACCATGCCATGAAAAGAAATGCAAAACCTACCAACACAACTCCAACACCCCCACAATTACTGCACCCTACAACAGAACCATCAACATTCCTGGATCTTACATTATATTTCTGGAGGTGCAGCTGTATCTCATCCAATGCACCAAAAGCCCTACGTAGGAAAGACCAAACAACAACTGCGCACCAGAATGAATGCACACGGGAGATCTATTAAAGACAAGGATATCCAATTACCTGTGGGGGCACGTTTCTCACAAGAAAACCACTCTCTCTCCACTCTCTCAGTTCTAATCTTCAAAGGGAATTTACAATAAACTTTTCACAGATGAGCCTAGGACTTAATTTCATTGACCTTCTGGATACAAAAAATCATGGACTAAATATAGACATTGGATATATGACACATTATAACCTGCCTAACATCTGACTCCCTGGGTACCTCTCCACTATTTACCAGCTACATTCATTCCCCTTCCTCCCAGATTACCCCAGCCTCTCTCTCACCCACTGACTCCTCAATTTGCATCTTCACTGACTGCCTGTCTTGCATGCATACCAGCTTCTGGCTTCTTTGCTATTCATTCCATCCAGGAAAAGCGCGCACGAACTGCCGATGCTTCCTCAGCCTGACAAAGGGTATTTAAATCCAAAAGCTTCCTAAAAATAATTTTTCCAACTATTTGAGTTGGTCTAATAAAAGATTTACCCAAGGAACCCTGTATGCCTATATCCTTAGACCAGCACAACTACAACCTACACCTCTATTTACTGCTGTAATTTAAGTTGGAGTGGTTATGATAATTTTTAAATAGTTGAGAGAAAAATCTATTGGGAAGTTGTAAATAAAAGGAACAGCAGTTTTGGCATGAAAAGGGTACTGTAGCATAAGGCCAAGTTAAACAGCACAGATGTGTATATGTGTATACACAGTGTATGTAGATGTGATCTGTAACTGAGTGCAGCTGACACTTGCATTAAAATGTTATGATTTTGTATTTTGAAGTATCTATTATAATGCAATTTTTCCAGCACCAAAAAAAATGTTCCTTGGTGGAGCTAGCTGGGAAACCATTCTGCCCGATATAATTATTAGTGATAATCATCATCGTGGAAATACTGTGTGTGAACTGCATGTTTAAAGTAACAATTTGATACAGCCACTATCATCCCTGCAGGGACTTTTTTTAAAACTTATTTTTGCCACCCACCAATTTTCAGTGATATGTCGGGATAAGGAGAAGTGACTGCTGCACCATTCAGTAGCAACAGGCCTTGAGAGCATCAGCCATGAAATTCTCAAGGGTCTTTATGTCCTGGGTGGAAATGGAATCATTACTGTATTTTTGAACTACTGCTAACGTCATTGATACCCACCTACAGTCAGTCCACTAGAAATATAAGTGGGGAGATCAGACTGTTCACAAATTACAGACAGACTAACCAGAAAAAGGCAAGTCAGAGACAAACTCATTGGTAAGTTTCATTTAAGGAGCAGGTGAAGGAGAGTGAATGTTTCTGTTGCATCAGTTTTTTTATTTATTTCTATATATAATTGTTGTTAAGTATATCTTCTGTATTTAGCTTCCTTCTTCCAGTCTTTAAAATTTAACTAGCTGGGCTTCAAATTATATTCCTTCATATTCCAAATAGTGCAAAAAGACATATTGCTGTCACTAACACTTGGCTATTTAGAGGATTTTTTTATACTGGAAGTGCAGAGCTAATCCTCCTTTTAAAGAAGGGATCTAGGGTCCTGATAACAGATTGCAGTGCTGGAAGCTTTGTTCCTCAAGGTGTGTTATAGCTAAGATGAACAAAAACAAACCCCACTCCAACCTAGTAGCTCCTCCTTGCCCTCCTTTGGTCATTTTTTATTTAAAATAATTTATTTGGATTAACACTTGCTTCATTTCTGAGTGGTGAAAGTTAAGTATGATTCATGAATCTGTTTTTTTTTTTACCTCCCTATGTGCAGCCTGCTCCTCTCTTCAGTATGTGGAAGACAGTATTCCTGATTTTCTTCACTATGTTGACTCTGCAGGGCTTGGTAAAGGGGGCTCCTCTGAGACCAGAAGAAAAGTGGAAACCTTTGGACAACCCCAGGAACAGAGATCTGGTAAGGAAGCATTGCAGAATAAATTGGAGAAAAGCCTACACTTTCTTTGCCTTTCACGTATTTATATGCTTCGTTATAAGAATTACTTATCTCCCTTTTATAGTTAAAAAAAAAATGTAAAGTGAAGTGGGCCCACACTTCTGGTCTAATTATTCTGTACTTTGTACAGATCAAAATTATCAGCTACTTGAACATACTACAATCTAAACTCACCTTTTATCTAAGGAAACATTTTTAGTGTAATACACTGTACATTATATTCTCTATAGCCATCTGAAGTAAACATTAATTTTACAAGAGCTGTACTTTAATTTATAAAAATACAGTTTATGTTATCAAATAAAATAGCATGATTTGGTATTTTTCTTCTAATCCTGAACTTATGTATTTTGTGGACACAATACTGTTTTGAGTTAAATGATGAACAATGGCTTTGAGTGTGCTCATAAAGATCTGAAAGCCAACTAATTTACATCTAAGAATATTCAACTATTAAGGATCAAAAGTTCTGTTAAACAGATTTGAGCTGGCCCTTGTTCTGGTTGCTTAAGATGGATTTAATTATATGTAAAGTATATTTTAGTTAGTATTTATTACAATGCATATATGGTCTAAACAAATGTAAAAATGGTTAATTATTAATCTGTCTACTACTTTTAGGGAAAGGTTAAACAAAACTGTTTGGAAATCTGGGAGTACTTTAAATTGGCTTTGGTGCAGGTGTCAGCATGCACCTTTTGTTAGGAAAACAGTTGTAAATTTGGTAATTGGTTTCTTGAAAAAACTGTAAGGAACACATCGGTTTGAAGGATTTCTAATACTGTGGTCTACTTAAATTTCATAACTTGGGGGACAAACAGTGTGAAAAAGGAACTAATAGAAGGTGGGTTACCTGTAATAACAGTTTAAATTGACCAAATCCATAACGTTTTAGAGATCTGAGGCATTCTTGAAGTGCTTTGAAATGGTCTGATGTAATTTTCCTAATATGGGAACTGAGAGCTGTTAAATGTAATTGACTAGTACTTTGTGTCCAAAATATGCACACTGTGGATATACACAACTGAGGGTATTGGGAATGGGAAGAGCCTTGTTCCTCCAGTTTATCACTGGCTGATGGGTTGATCTTTTTTTTTAACAGGTGTGTGCATCACAAGACACAAAAGACCCAAAGGTCTGATTACACTTGCTCATAATGAAAGTGCCTTATTCCTCAGGTAGTTCCATTAATTTTAATGTCAGAATTTGGCAGGAATTGCTGCCTATTTAGCATGTCTCTGCAGAAGGCCCAGAGTAAGTGCACTGAGTGACTAAACTGCTATGAGGTGAAGCTGTTTTAGTTCAGGACTGAAGCAAATGATTGGGGTAGAGTAGAAAACCTGAACTGCCAGTGACCATGTTGGACCTGCTTGCAGATAAAATGGAGGATTTCATTTCATTCTGTGTTTTCTCCATTCTAATGTAGCTCCTTCTGCAACCATCATATTTACTCAATCTTATTGGAAATTATTCATTTGGAGGTGTGTGGGGGTTATCCTTTTCTAAATGGAAACTGTCTTCAGTTTTTCAGAACACTTTCAGCTTATTTTTCTGGGAGAGATCTCAGGAAGTTTCCAGGAACTTTCTCTTTGAACAATGATGGATCAAAGCCTGTTACTTTCTACTTGGATCCCATTGCTTCTGCATTGGCAGATTATGAAGAAAGGAAAAATTCTTTCCCAAAGTATTTCAGAGGCTGAAAGAAACTGCTTAACAAGGTAACTATTAAAACCAAATAAACAAAACTAAAAACAAAATTCCAGTGGTGTTTTCAGTCGCGTGTGATTACAGATTTGGATTTGGGTAATTTCCATATCTAAGTGAAGTATAAAAATAATTTTTTTTGGTTAGAGATAAATGGCATTGTAACCCTTAGTTAAGATTGATTTAAATGTATTTAGGTAGACACTCCTGTGGCTTTACTTACTTACTAAAATAAAATGAGTATCTTTGATGAGAAGAAATACGAAGTTAGCCGTGTATATAGTATTTCTGTTTGCCCTGCTTAGATTTCATATGCTTTTCCAGTATAAAAAAAAAAAAAAAAGCTGGAAGCTTGCTGACTAGTAAAATGGGGGAGGGGGAAGTTTTGCGAAAACAATTATAAACCTAGCACAACCTACACTTCAAACTGTCAAAAACTTCCCACAATCTGAGCACAGTAAGAAAAAGTCTAGATATAAAAATAGGAAAATAATATAGTAATAGACATTATTTTGTCATCTTAACTATTTTCCTTATTTCTGCAATTACATTCTAAGGTTGGGGAAAAAGGTTAATACATATTTCACTATATCAGATATTAGCAACTTTTTACTAAGAGCATGCAACGGATTCTAGCCCAGCTGCTCACCCCCTGCTGCAGTTCCAGCTGCCCCTGCCCTGTGTGAAGGGCTAGTCTCTCACCCTGCAATGCAGCCTCCAGTGAAAAATGTGCCACTGCAAAGCATGGCATGCTGCAATTTGGAGTGGCTAATTTAGTGGTGATGGTAAGCAGAGACTGCAGTAGAGGCAAGAGAGCATCCCTTTGCACAGAGCAGGGAGACAGAGGTGGTAGCAGGGGATCAGTCTGCTGTTTGTAAAAGCAGGTCAATGGGATACTTGGGACTGCTAGGAGCAACAGGTGATTGGTGCACTATTAGTAAAACATCAGTCCAATCCAGTCTCTTCACAAGTTGGATCCTGCATTTGTACTTAAATATTGCTTAACATAAGAAATCTCAGAGTAGCTGGAGATACTGCAGGTACCTTTAAAAACGCTTTTGCAGGCTGGTAATCTGAGCATTTAAAAAAAACAAACAAACAAACACTTTTAATGGTTACATTTCCTGTGTTTGGTTAGTTCTTTACATTTCATAATCTTCCACTCTGTTAGTTTTGAGGGCACAGACAAGGTGCAGGGAACAGCAGAAGCGGTACCTTCCCAGTGTATGTGCGGACACGGTACTGGGCATCACAGAGATATACTTCACAGGAGTCTCTTGCCTAATGTTCTGCATGTTCAGGGTATTGAGTAAAACAGTGGCAGATCCCAGGGAGGAGTGGCCACAAGCAAAGGAAAACCAAGCCAGCCACAGTGGCTCTACTGCCACTCCATGGCTTCAGGACAGGAGGAATCTGTCCCTTACTTTTACCCCTACAACAAAGATCATGTTCCCATTAAAGTAAAAGAATGTTAATTGATTTCTTAACAGAGAATATGGTAGTAACTTTTTATTGAGTCACAAATTTAAAGTTCATTAAGGTCTGTGAAAGTCAGTAGAACTATGAATGTCAGTTGGCATCACTGGCCTTAGGATAATGCTCCGTGGGCATTTACATATTTCTGCTTTAATATGCTTAGTCTTACTATACTTTTTTCTTTCAGGTGATTACTTGGACTTCAGGTGAACTTGAAGAATACTTGGCAAGATATGACTACCTTGGGCTTTTTAACTATTATCTGACTTTTCAGCATACCAGATTTTACATACACAAGTCTCACATCTGGCTGTAACTGCCACACTTTCTTATTTTGAGCTAGTAGGGGACATATGACCAAAGTTTGTCTTACAGAATTTTACTTGTTTAAATGTAAATAAATGAAAAGTTCAGTCCAACTGGTGTTTGCAACTGATCTCAAATACCTTTGTCAAGGAATGTAAATAAATGTTATCTTTATTATAACTAAGTTCTAGAAAACTTTTCTTGAATGGAATTCTAGTGAGACTATTTCCTCACAATTCCTTATATTGTGTTTGGTGGAATTTTTAACAAAACTGAGCTTCAGTTGTTACAGAAACTTACAGAAACCTGCCTGTCTGTTCTGTGATGGTACAGAACCTCCCACAATGGGTCCTGGTTTAGGACTGGGGTCACTGCAATACAAATAATGAACACACTTTGACACACAAAAACAAAGATATACTAATCTGATGTGAGAATGGAAGGCAACTTGGGTCACGGTAACTATAAAATGATAGAAGTTAAACTTCTAAGGGGAGGAAGGAAGGAGAGCAGCAGATTAAGGACACTGCACTTCAGAAAAGCAGGCTTGAACAAATTTTGGGAACAGGTGGGAAGGATCTCCTGCAAGGCAAATCTGAGCAGACAGGAATTCAGGAGAGCTGGCTGCACTTTAAGAATGACTTTTTAGAAGGGCACAGGAGCAAGCTATCCCAATGAGATGGAAGAATGGAAGTGCACCAGGAGACCAGCCTGACTAGACAGCAAATCTGTTTAAGGGGTTGAAACACAAAAAGCATGAATGATGCATGCCCCCGGCAGCTGGGGGGCAAGTGGCGCTGGCAGGGGTGGGAGTGTGGTGGCAGTAAGCCGGGGATTTTTGTAGGGGGTGCACGTGCACCCCCTATGCATCACCACTGACAAAAAGTAATCCTATAAAAAGTGGAAACTTGATCATAGTATTAGGGAAAGTTATAAGAGTATCAGATATGCATGCAGAGAGAAAATGAGGAAGAGAAAATCTGAGATGCAACTGGTAAGGAACATCAATGGCAATAAAAAGAGATTCTATAAATATATGAAAAGTAAGAGGAAGACCAGAGAAACCAGAGGCTCCTTACAGAATGTGAAAGGCAGTCTAGTTACAGGAGATGCAGAGAAGGCTGAAGTTTTTAATGCCTCTTTTACTTAAGACTTCGCAAATAGGGGCAGCTACCAGATGATGGGTGCAGTTGGCAGCTAAGATAGGGAAGGTGACAAACAGCCTAGAGTAATAAAAGAACAGATTAGGGGTTACTTAGAAAAGCCGAATGCTTTCAAATCATCAGGACCAGATAGGATGCATCCGAGGGTACTGAGGGAATTAGCTGAGGTAATTTCAGAGCTACTATCTATCCTCTTTGAGAACTTGTGGAGGTTGAGTTAAGGTCCTGGATGATTAGAAAAGGGCAAGTATAACACTCATCTTTAAGAAAGGGAAGAGGGAGGATCTGGGGAATAACAGACCAGTCAGTTTGACCTTGGTATGTGGAAAGACCAGAGAGCAGGTCCTCAAGGAATCTCCTGTGAAGCCCCTAGAGGAGACCAAGATGATCAGGAGCAGCCAGCATGTATTCACCAAATGAAAGTCATGCTTGACCAACCTGATTTCCTTCTATAAGCTGATAGGTTCTATGAATGAGGGGAGAGCAGTGGATGCAATACACTTTGACTTTAGCAAGGCTTTTCACATTCCCATGACATTCTCATTGACAAGTTAAGGAAATACAAAGTAGACAAAAATACTGTAAGGTGAATACATAACTGTTTGGACAATCATACTCAACAAGTAGTCATCAATGGTGCAATGTCTCTTTGGGAGGAGGAATCAATGGGGTTTCTCAGGGAGCTGTCCTGGGTTTGGTATTGTTTAACATCTTCGTTAACCATGTGGACAGTGGGACTGAGTGCACATTTAGCAAATCTGCAGATGATACCAAGTTGAGAAGATCTGCAGATACTCTTAAAGATAGGGCTAAAAAAGGCCTAGATGGACTGGAGAAATGGCCTGCAATCAACTGGATGATATTCTAAAAGGACAAGTGCAAAGTCCTGCACTTGGGTCAGAATGACCACACGCACAAATACAGATTCAGGAATGACTGGCTAGGCTGCAGTACAGCAGAGAAGGGTACAGTAGATGGTGAGATAAATATAAACCTACAATGTGCTCTTGTTGCAAAAAAAAAAAAAAAAGCTGACAGCATTCTGGGTTGTATTAACAAGTGTCACTGGGTAATCAAGGGAAGTGACTCTTCCACTCCATTCAGCACCGAGGAGACCTCACCTGGAGTACTGTGTCCAGTTTTGGGCCCCATGCTTCAAGAAGGATGTGGACAGTTCGGAAAAAGTCCAGCACAAACCAACAAAAATGATTAGGGGCCAGGAGGCAAGTCTTCTGAAGATAGGCTGAAAGAACTTGAGTTATTTAGTTTGGAAAAAAGAATATTTAGAAGGTATTTGATGAGTTTTCAAATACCTGGAGGGTGATTATGGAAAGAATGGAGATGGGCTTTTCTCTGTGGCTGAGGGGATAGTACTAGGAGCAATGGCCTCAAACTTCAGGAGGGGTAATTTAAGTTGGAGACTTGGAGGGAATTTCTGACCATGAGGGTGGTAAAGCATTGGAACAAGCTACCTAGAGAAATTGTTGGTTTTTCCATCCTTGGAAGTTTTTAAAGCAGGTTAGACAGGCACTTGGCTGGGATGGTTTATTATCAAGGATGATCCTGCCTTGAGCAAAGAACTGAACTAAATGACCTTGTAAGCAGTGGTGATGTGTTAGGGGTGCATGGGGGGTATGTGCACCCCCTTAGAGTGCTGGTGCACCCCCTCACAGCAGAGTTCCCCACTTAGGCGGTGGGCAGGCAGGAGCACTCGTGCCCCACCTGAGAGCCCTGCCTGGGGAGTGGGGGTGCCAGAAGTGCCAGTGGCCCTTCCAGGTGCGTCCCTGGCCCTTCCAGGCATGCTGCTGGCAATTCTGGGCAGCATTCCCTCTTAGAGTCAGCTTAGAGGAAATGCTGCTTCTGGGCCAGCATATGCGACTGGCTGTGGGGGGACCCTGCCCTCTGGTTGCTGACTGGTGCCTCCTGAGTCAGGGGGGCACTTGCCCCCCCAGCAGCCAGTTGTCCATGATTGTAAGGTCCCTTCCAAGCCTACTTTCCTATGATAAAAATGTTTAGGAAATGTACTGAGGTCATCCTATTGTAAAAGACCGAGAGTACCTCCATCACCAGTTCCATGGGATGGCCCTGCCCGCTATGGGTCAGGGAGGCCCGGGTGAGGAAGATTCCTTGCCCTCCTTTGAAGCTGAACTTGTGAAGGAACACCTTGACAAGCTGGATACCTTCAAGTCAGCCGGCCCTGATGGGTTACACCCAAGGGTACTCAAGGAGCTGGCGAGCATCATAGCTCAGCCCCTGGCATGGATCTTTGAGAGTTCTTGGCGCTCTGGTGAAGTGCCCGATGATTGGAAGAAGGCCAATATCATGCCTATCTTCAAGAAAGGGAGGAAAGTAGATCTGGCAAACTACAGGCCCATCAGCCTGACCTCTATCCTGGGAAAGGTCTTGGAAAAGATTATCAAGGAGGCCATCCTTAACAGACTGGCTGAAGGCAATATTCTGAGGGATACCCAGCA